ACGCGGGTTGCGGCGAGGGCTGATCAGCGGCGCTGGGCGCTTCTGGCTGAGCAGCGGTGTTGGGTACAGGCGGCAGCAGTTGCGGTGGCGGCTGAGCAGCTGTGCTTGGCGCTGTGGGCTGCTCGAGGACGGAGTCAGCTCGCTCCATGTATGCCGGCTTGAGCGTGTCTGTGGACACCACCTCTTCTTTGCCGTTGATGTCAAGGACGTAGTTGCGCTCATCGAGACGGCGAACAACGCGATGTGGGCCGGTGTAGGGTGGTTCAAGCGGCTTTCGGATTCTGTCAACACGCTTGAACACATGCGAGCAGGTTGACAGATCTTTGAAGCAGAATGGGTGCTGGGCCGAGTGATTCGAGGCAGGCACTGGTCTGATGGCTCTGAGGAGTTGTCGCAAGCTCCGCGCGCACGTAGATTGGTTGGCCTGGACTGACTCGGTGGTGAAGAGCTCCCCTGGAATTCTGGGTGAGAATCCAAGGAGCATTTCCGCTGGAGAGGCTTGCAGGTCCTCTTTGTATGCTGTGCGGAGTCCAAGGAGCACAGTCGGGAAGCAGTCTAGCCAAGACTGCGGGCAGCAGCGCAGGGCTGCTTTGAGGGTCCTGTGGAACCTCTCCACCATGCCATTGGACTGTGGGTGGTACGAGGTTGTGTGGCACAGCTTTGTGCTGATTATCTGGGCCAGTTCCTTGAAGAGGCTCGACTCAAATTGGGCACCACGGTCTGAGGTGATGAGGAGCGGGGTTCCGAAGAAGCTGATCCAGTGATCGAAAAAGGCTTTGGCGATGGTGGGTGCCTGGATGTTGGACAGCGGGATCGCTTGCGGCCAGCGAGTAAACCGATCAATGATCGTAAGGCAGTACTGCATGCCTGCGACTAGAGGCATCTTGATGATGTCTATGTGGACATGTTCCAGGCGGTTGTCGGGCTCGGTGAATCTGCCTAGCGCTGATCGGTTGTGGCGATTGATTTTGGAGCGCTGGCAGTCTTCGCAAGTTTTAGCCCAGGCTAAGGCGTTTTTGCGCACTCCTGGCCAGACAAACTTCCGACTCAGAGTGCGGGCCGTGGCTTTGCCACTGGGGTGTGAGAGAGCATGCACATCGTCGAAGGCTGTGCGCCGGAGAGACGCCGGTAGGTACGGCCGCACCACGCCTTGCGTGATGTCTCCATAGACGTAGTGGCCCTCAATGTTGAGCTGCTGGAGTATCAGGTTGTTCGATGGATTGCCTAGCAGGTCGAGGAGCTCTGCATTGTGCGCCTGCTCTTGGGTGATGACGGCTGGGCTAAGGATCGAGGGCATTGCGACAGTGGCGACTGGTGTCTGCAACTGAGTCGTTGGGGCGACGTCGGTGGTCGCTACTTCAATTGGTTTCGCAGCTGGTGTTGAAGCTTCGGGGGGCAGTGTCTCGGGGTCGTCTTGCGGCCGGGAGAGAGCATCAGCCACGACATTGTCTTCACCTTTAGCGTAGACCAGGCGTGAGTTAAACCTGAGAATATATTCAAGGTAGCGCGCTTGTCTAGGTGAAGCCTTGGTTGCTGGTTGAAAGGCAGCGAAGGTGATAGGCCGGTGATCCGTGAAGATGGTGAATGGGCGGCCTTCTAGTATCCTCTCGAAATGCTCAACAGAGGCGTAGATTGCTAGGAGCTCTCTGTCGTAGGTGCTGTACCTGGCCTGCGTGAGGTCTAGCTTGTGTGAGAAGAATCCTAGAGGGCGCCACGACTCATCCGGTTGAAGCTGCTCTAAAGCCGCGCCAATGGCTGTGCTCGAGGCGTCCGTGCGGAGCGCCAAGGGGGCGTCTGGGGCCAGGAACATTGTGCAAGCGGCGTCAATGACGCTGGCCTTACATTTGTCGAACGCCTGGGATGCTGGTGTGGTCCACTTAAGCTTAGCTTTATTGGGCAGGCCCTTGAGCAGCTCGTTGAGAGGCACCTGCAGTTCCACGGCGTGGGGGACACACCTGCGGTAGTAATTTATTACTCCCAGGAACCGTCGAAGTTCGGACGCTGTGGTTGGCTTGGGAAAAACTTTGATGGCTTCTACCTTCGCTGTTGGTGGCCGGCAACCTTCTGACGAAACCTGGAAGCCCAGGTAGATGACCTGAGGTATGCCGAATGTGCATTTCGTCAGGTTTACCTTGAAGCCTGCCTGCTTCAAGATGGTAAACATCTGGCAGAGGTGCTGAAGGTGCTCCTCGTGCGTCTGAGACGCGACGAGGATGTCGTCTATGTAGGCCTTAACGAAGAGAAGCTTGCATAGCAGCTGGTCCGTCGTGCGTTGCATGGTTTGCGCGGCGTTTCAGAGGCCGAGTAATGTGTCGAGGAACTCAAAGAGGCCGAAGGGTGTCGTGACGGCCGTCTTCTTTACGTCTCCGCTGGCGATAGGCACCTGGTAAAAAGCTTTGTGTAGGTCGATGACCGTAAAAACCTGATCTTGGCTCTCTTTTAGCATGTCCTCGATGATCGGAAGAGGGTACCTGTCTGGTCCTCTTATGCTGTTGAGGCGGCGATAGTCGCCGGTGACGCGCCAGGAGTTGTTGGCCTTGGGCACGAGGTGCAGTGGACTAGCCCACTGGCTGCTGGACGGCCTGACGACCCCTTGGTCTTGGAGCTCGGCGATAGCAGCTTTGGCCGCTGCTAGTCGCTCACCTACGAAGCATCGGGGGCGCTCGAAGACTGGTTGGCCGCAGGTGATGATCCGATGTTGGACTGGAAGGCAGTTGATAACCACTGGTGCGCTGTTGCACGCAAAGACGTCGGCAAATTCGTGCAGCAAAAACGAGTAGAGGCTGGCGACGTCAGGGTCGTCTGGTCCCAGTTGCTCGATTGTCGCAATCGAGTGCAGGTTGGTGTCGCACAGGATGCCCTAAACAGCCAAACCTGTGAGCGGGTCGATGAGCCGCTTGTGTTTGAGCCACCGTGTTCTGCCAGGAAGTCGGCTCCAATGATAGCCTGGGCGACGTCGGCGATGATAAACTCCCATTGGAAGTCTCGACGAAGGCCCAGGTTGAGGTTGATCTTCCAGCTGCCGTAGGTGTGTATGGGCGAGTGGTTGGCCGCATACAGGATCAATGCCTCCCGTTGGGCCTGGCTGAAATTTGGCGGCCAGGGCAGGATTGACACTACGGATCCGGAGTCGAGTAGGAAGTCGACCTTGAAGTGGTGGTCTCTGATTAGCAGACGGGTTTCCCCTGATAAAAGGGTGACTTCCGCTGTCTGCGTCGGAGGCAGCCCTAGGCGTTTCCCGTTGGTTGGGTGGTTTATACCACGAAGGTGCAGGGCTTCTTGCAGAAGTAGGGGTTGACGCCGAACTTCCAGTGAAAGTAGCACCAGGCGTGAGCACCTGGGGACTGGTTCCGTCCTTCGCTGCGCGACCTGTCCCGGCCTCTGGCACCTCTGTTGCCCTTGTTGTTTTTGAGCAGTTCGAGCAGTTGTTTGTTGGTTGTAGAGAGCTGCGTGATCATCGCCTTGAGCGTGGCGATTTCCTGGAGCAGTATCTCGTTGTGCAGGTGGTGTGGCAGGACAGGCGAGGCGTATCCTGAGGAGACAGGCGAGACACTTGCGAAGGTGTGATTTGTTCGCAAGAACGAAGAGTTGCAGACGAGTTTATCTGCAGCCTGTACTAGCTCGTCAGGAGACGTCTGCTCGACTGTCGCTTCCGTACCCTGCCACGTATATTCCGTTGTTAATGGAGTGCGAGGTTGGATATCACCCAACTTTTGTAATGGCGGCGAGGCGGACACAGGGGGACACATGCGGGCACGTAACGTTGCAGCCCGTGTAATGACGTTGAGCTCTGTGCGTGGTCGTAACTCGGCTCCAGGGCAGGGCCGTCTCCTTTGCACTGGCCCTGCTACCCGAGACGTTGGCACTGGCGAGCGCCGGCCGCGGCCTCTCGACGGTGGGACGTAGCCTTTTGGCGACGACGTCTTGCCCACGTGGCGAGCGGAAGAGCGTTAAAAGATATCGGTACGCGAAGAGTTTATCCTCGCCTCGGCTCAACTTTTCATCGCGAACTTGCACTCACAATAAATAAAACAGTTCGAGGGGTCACCACTTGTGGGAAGTATTGTTCTGCACAGCCGAAGCTGTGCTTCCACAAGAAAAGGAGCACGAGGGAAAATAAGCACACCCGACAGATTTTATCATAAAAATACGAAATGGCTTTTATTCATTATGTACAGTAGGACTTTTGCTCTGCTCACGTTGAGAGCTATAAGTAGAAGAATAAGTGTATAGCACCGCACGACTCTTCTCCCTCAGCTGTAGCGCACCAGCAGTGTGTGCGTGAGTTGGCTCTCGCGTGCGCAGGAAAAGATGTTCCTTGGGACGATGGTCTGATTTCGTCTTGAGCACGAAGCTGGTCACTGTGGCTGCGACGCCACAAATACACTACTAAAATAGAGTTTAACTAGTTTTCCACGTAATTATTTACATATTTACTAGGGCTATTAAGTAAAGAATGGAGGAAGAGAAAATAATTTGATAAAATGATGACTTCAAACAATAAAAGTGTAAAAATTTACTCAAGAGGATTATAAATAATTTTCACATTGAAAGAACAAAAGCTTACGTATAAAACTTGTGTTTGCAACATTTTATTATAAGTTGCGTCACAATCAACCTACTGCTTTCCTAATAATTTGTGTATTTACATAAGTTTAAACTAGTTCGTACTACAAACGCGAAACGCAGCAATATTTTAGGCTAATTTCACAAAAAACTAATAATTAAGCATCTTTCTAGGTCAAAACATATCTTTTTATGGCGAAATATTAATAGTATTATGTAATTTTTTTATTTATGATGCTTATGTATGTCTTTGGGATAAGAAGCGATGAAGATTTTCTAAAGGCAATAAGTGGGATGGACCTTTTTTTTTCGACAAAACTACGCTCTAATTGTAAATGTATTATACTTTTTTTTACGTTTTTGATAATTTATACATATGCTTAAGATGTCCATTTGATGTAAGATTAGATTAAACAGTGTGTAAGAAAACTTACTGCAACCATATCTTCAATAGCTTGAGTTGATTTTGATCCCAACATCACCATACCCATAGCAATACCAGCTGCTTCACCTGTTACAGCATCGTCTTGATAAAGATTGAATTTTAATTGTTCGTATACGTCTTGTCTATGTGATCCCATTGCTGCCAAACCTAATCCAAGGCATCCCCCATGTCTTACCATCTAAAACGAGATTGTTAGCGTAATTTTAAAAAAATTTGGATACATTTATTGCATTTAATTTTTAATATGTCTAAAATAATAAATATTCTTTAATTATAAGATTTCTTGACATTGTGTGGAGATTTAAAAAAATAAGTATGCGTGATAATGGTAAACAAGAAAAAAATTTCATATTGTTACTAACATTACGACTCATACAATTGCGCATATCATCTGAATACAATTCATACTGCATTGATTTAGTCTATTTATATACATACGCGTAAAAATGGATCCATGCAAACTCTACGTGCTTTTAAGATATATACTTATAATACTAAAAACTTATGCAGACAATCAGCATAATTCAAAATACCCATTTGTGTACATATATTAGGAGACTACGCCACCTACTCATTACACTCGCCAACTTGCTTGGGTGCCATCGTAGGTTAGTTCTTATTAAGGCTGCAGGAATACCTTTTGAGGCTTTATGAATTTCAAATTCTAAGCCTTTTTAAACCTTTAACATGCCCTTACAATAAAGCTATAAATTCCTTATGATATTATAAATCTTTTATTAGAACATTAGAAATGCATTACCGCACCAGTATAAGATCCCTGTATGGTTATGAATAATTGAAATGATTACTGTTCAATAATTTAGATCGTTTTACATACATTCAATTTTTAAACATTGCACACGCTTAAAATTTTAGACCTCGTTCCTGATGGTACTGTCTACTGCTTGCTAGGTGTCGATTACTAGTTTCTAAAGAGCATCGGAAGTATTGAAAAAACTCTCAGTGTATAAATAGGACTGCGCAATGATTTAAAAATATCCACCTAGACCACGCACATCTACTAATTGCCTAATTCTTGCTCATTCGTCGAATTCGAATACGTAGCAGTAGTAGAGCAGTACAAATTCAGTAAATATTAATGTACATTAAAATCACATACTTGCAGTGTATTTTTCTTTTTTTTTAAAACTTCACACTTACTCCTAAAGGCTAATGCTCATGACCCCTTTCCCTCTCAATCGAGTGGAGACAGCTTATTCAAGAGCAAAGGCTTGACGACTGCCTATTGGACTGTGTTAGGTCCGACCCAATCAACTTTAGTGCTTTCGCTCATCGAAGGCCCTACTACTTTTCTTCTAGTTTCCAGAGATTCTCAGGGCTACTCAAACCACTTTTGAAAAGTGTCATCCAGACATTCTTTTCACTGCAAGAACCAGAAAAACCTTGACCAAGGGTTGATCATTGGAATGACAAGAAGCAGGCCATAAGATAGGGCCGATACAGCAAGATTGCCATAAGCGCACAGCGCACTGCGCCTTATGCGTAAGCTCAACCTAAGAAAAAAAGTAACAAATTTGAAAAGTAAACAGAGGCCTGACAGAAATATTACGAATTAGGCATGAATAACTATTCAAATATGTAATACATAGAAAATCACAACTGTAGAAAGTAGCAGTTGATTAAACGTATTTAATAATAAGGAATTAATTTTCATTTGATACAGGTTTTACAATTCGATAGATTTGATGATTCAGATGTCGGACTTAAGGATATTGTAAAAACTTTAAGAGAAATCCTTTACCTTTTGTATGATTCATACTATCTATGGCAATTCCAAGTATAGCAAGAGATGAATTAATCGCAGATGGTTGATCAGGCCCATAAATGAAAGGAGATTAACGAAAGGATTTTTGAATACTTTGTATGTAGAATTCAAAAATGATCCTAGCAAATATTTTCCATACACAAGAATATATTTAAAATCTTTCCAGTTCTTAATAAAACTTGTTCAGCGCTTCCTTTCAAAACGGAGAAGAAAAAGCATTATTACTGCTGAAGAGCAACTTTTGTTAACAATAAGGTAATGCAATTTTTGTTACGTGTAAAACTGTTTATTTACACTCGTATAGTTGTAATATAAACGTTCAGGTACTCGGCTTCTGCAGATCAAGTTTTATCTCTTGCCCTACTCCACACAGTTGGTGAATCAACAGCTTACAATATTATTGTGGATACTTGCTCAGCAATACAAAAAGTTCTGTCTCCAATATTTTTCAAACCACCAGTAAAACAAGCTTGGAAAGATATTAGCAGTGGATTCTATAAAGATTGAAATATGCCCGATTGTGCTAAAGCTATATAGACAGTAAACATATAGCTATAACAGTTTCATTTAAGTCAGGATCACTTTTTTATAATTATGAGGGATTTGTTATTATTGTTCTTTTAGCTGCCTACAACCATAGGTAAACTATTTTTTTTTTTATATATCAAACAATTGTTATTTAGAACGTCTTTAGAAGTATGGGTGTTCTACAGAAATGAATTTACGGTAGTTGAAGTTGTAGCTTTTGGAAAAGAAAGTGATGGTGGGATATTCACTATCGATGACACTTGGGCGGTACTTTATGGAATTGAGGAAGTAGTACTTTAGCAACACCTGGGTGGTACTTGGTCAGTACTTTGGTGGTACTTTGGCGACACATGAGCAGTACTTGGGAGCACTTAATCGGTGGCACTTGGGCGGTCCTTACGTGGCATTTAAACAGCAGCACTAAGGCGGTACTTGAGCAATAATAAAGCGGCACTTGGCCAGCATTTAGGCAGCGGTATTTCGGCAGCATCTGGGCGGTACTTTAGTGGTACTTCATCGACACATAACCAGTACTTGGGCAGCACTTAATTAGTGTAGTGCTACCCTAAATCCGTCTAAATACTGCCTAAGAGCAGCCACTTAATTACCAACAAGTACCGCTAAAGTACCACCAAAATACCACCCAAGTGCCACTGATTAAGTGCTGCCCAAATACTGCTCATTTGTCACCGAACTACCACCAAAGTACTGCCTACATGCTGCTTAAGTACTACGGAAGCGTCGCTGAAGTGCTGCCAAAGTACGGCTGCTTAAATGCCGTCCCAGTGCCACCGAAGTACCTCTAAGTCCCAACCAAGTGCCACCACTCAATTGTCGCAAAGTACTGCTTAAGTGCCACTGATTAAGTGCTGCTCAAGTACTGCTCATGGGTCACCGCAGTTCCACTAAAGTAATTCCCAAGTACCGCCAAGGTGCTGCTAAAGTACCACTAACTATTTGCCACCCAAGTGACGCCGAAGTATCACTTTAGTGCCACTTAAGTGCCGCTGTTTAAATGCCACGTAAGTACCGCCCAAGTGCCACTGATTAAATGCTGCCCAAGTATTGCTTATATGTCACTCAAGTACCACCAAAGTACTACCCAAGTACAGCCCAAAGGACGATAAAGTACCGCCTCAGTAACGCTCAAGTACAGCCCAAAGGACGATAAAGTACCGCCTCAGTAACGCTCAAGTACAGCCCAAAGGACGATAAAGAACCACCTCAGTAACGCCCAAGAGCATCTGTTTAAGTAACACGTAAGCCCCAGTGTCTTCAAACTTCCAGCCAAGTGTCGCTGCGTAAGTGCCACCCAAGTACTGCTGAAATGCCGCTGCTTAAGAACTGCTTAAGAACCACCCAAGTGCCGTCAATGTCCCGCTTTTCAAGTACAGCTCCTTACATGTCGCTCTAATGCCAACGATTTACCGCTGCACATTTGTCACATAAGTGCGGCCCAAGTACCACCTGATAGCCACTCAAGTTTATTGATTTATTATTACTCTTATAAGTATTTACCATTATCATGTATATTATTAGTACTAGCAGCCCCTGTCTCGGCTTCACCTGAGACTTACTAAATAGAACACCGTAGTGTGTGGACATGCAATGTAAAATGTTTTCAGTAAGCAATTTTACATATATTCCTGACACTTCTCAGAACAAAAATATTCTTATTAAAAACATATTTGTTCGGAATTCATAAAGTTTTTATTTAGTCAAATGATAAACTTAAAAAATTTTTAAAAATTTAATAATGCTAAAAACTACCGTGCGTTCCTTATGCCATAAAATAATCGTTGGCCAGAAGGAGCCGTTAATTTACAGTTTCTCTCGTATAATTTACAAAAACGGCTATTTTTCTAAAGCTGCTAGGATTTAAAAACCCCCAAAAAAATTTTTTTTTCTTTTATCTTACAACTGTATTACCAGAGTAACGAAGTCCTGGAGCTTAATCTCTACATTTTTAATCGCCACAAAAATACAAATACATTTTCTACTTATTTATAAAACTGAAAGATTCAAGAAATTACTGTAAGGGTACAATAAAAAAAATGATCCCTTACGTGATGGATTCTATATTTGTCGATTTTGACGCTGCTAATCAAATCTCAATAAATTTTCTGAGTCAGTTTCTTGACGCCTCAAATTGTATTTATTAGATACATTTGAAGTTTTTCATCCAATTCATCCTCTTGCGACTTTTGGCATGCTTAGTACTTCTGTGACCCCTAAAGGCTGTTTTTAGTCCAGTTTGTTAAGTTCTAATATATTTTTAGTCAAGGTAGTTCGACATCCGATGGCCCTAAAAAAACCCGGTGAGCTTCTTAAGTAAACTCTTTCTTGACTGAAGTTAACAGCAATTGTGGCAGCCTGAATACCTCAGAATCATCTTCTCTAGCCTGCTGTAAAAGCCTCAGACTGATTAGGAGAAAAATTACAAAGTCCGAAGCTTTGGAGCTAGTTGTAAAGATCTTTCCCAACGTCTCCTGGTATAACGTCAAAGACGTTGATGTCTAAAGCATCTTTTTTTTTGCAGACTCAGTTGTTTCGAAATCTGAGATAGGAAGATTGGTTCAAGTTTTTTTTTCCCTTCAGAGCTGTTAAGTTCACCCAGCGCAGACCTTGTAGAGGATCGGTGATTTCTGGTTGAATGCTCGTCGAGAGGGTCGTCGGTCACCGTGGTTTCCAGCCTTGCGAAGAACAATTCCATTCGTGACGACTGCCAGTGAATGACTGACTTGGTTTTATAGTGGCCGTCTTAAGTTAACATAGTCTTTAGTCGACAAATTGCTTCCGAAAATAGTAGTAAAAATGTATTTGTCCACAAGATAGTTAAACTTAGGTGGGCCTTAAAAAACCGA